ATATAATATATCAATATCAACATATACAAAAATTTATAACATAAATCAAAGTAAAGTCGTATATTCAAAAAAAAAAAAAAAATAGATAAATGATGAAAAAACCAGGTACTTATTGCATAATAACAGAAAAAATGCCCATCAAGCTAGTTACATGCGTAATACCTGGTTATTATACCTGGCTATGCATATGAATATCACATTCGAATTGGATGGAATAACTCTCGATGCGCTGCACAAATGAATGTTAAGCCGCACAGTTCGAGACTAATAATAGCTTACAAAAAAAATAAATAAAAAAATTTTGTATCTCTCTATATAAAAAATGGTATTATATTTTGTGCATAAATTGGTATTTGGTTGTTTTGTGCGGCGCAGCGTGAATTTATTTGGGCCGAAAGCAATTTGGCGTACTGTCAAACGCACTCGGATGACAAACGAAATGTGAAATGTCAACGGATTGCCATAAAGAGGGGGCGGCGCGGCCCTTAGATGAGTGGGCGTGTCCATTAAAAGAACCATTAAATGCACACAGAAGCAGCAACAACAACAACAACAACAAAGGCATTTATACGATTGCAAACATGTTAAGCATCAGCGAAAATATTTGAACAAATATTTGCGGAACATGCACAAAACATGAAACATGGCCAAAAGCACAAACGGCCAGTCCAATAGACAAACGACAAACGGACAGAATATACAAAAATTCAATTTACAGCCCACAATTGTTTTGATTGCATTTATTGTTCTTGCTCGCCTGCAAAAAGGGTATTCCCAAAGGGTGCCTGACCATCTACTAAACACACACGCAATTATTGAAATATTGCTGACATTTGCAATTTCAATGTGAATTTTCATTTTAATTTAATGCAAACATTCGGCACATCTGGATTAATTATTAAAATGCAACTGCGAATTTAAATTACTTTTTTTATCGCTCACTTTTAAATCAAGTGCTGTCTCCTGTGATTATATAAAGCCTATATACGCATATACATATGTATATATACATGTTATATTAATTAACCGAACATTGTTTGCTTGGACAGCTTTTCAGAACTGTTCAGTGAACTGCACTGCACTGCAAAAAAATAAAAATAAAAAATAAAATAAAATAAATGGCAAGCGCAAATGAAAATTAAATTCATTTCCCACTCAGTAAATCAAGTCAAAATGTTCGATTTAAATAAAATATATATCCAAAATATAACTTTTATTTTTTTATTCGCTATTAAAATTTTCATTTATATTGTAGTTATTTATTTATGGCAAACTAAAATGCATATCATATTTTAAAATAATATAGAATTCATAGTTGCCTCTGATAGCAACCAGCACAATAAAAAATGAGTAATTACATATTTATACGACAGCTATTTTTTTTTTTTTTTTTTTATTGAAACTAAATATTTGCATAGCTCTGCTTAAAAAATAATATACTAAATATATACAAATATGAAAAAAGAAAAAGAAAAAAAAAGCGATAAGTTAAAAAAAAATAAAATAAATAAATAAAAATAAAAAATAAATGAAACGAAGAAATATTTAATCAAACAAATCACAGAACACTCATCTCTTCCAAATTCCGCTTGTACCATCATTTATATTTAATATTTTAAGCAAAAATATTTCAAAGGCTCTTCAAACTAAATTTTTGAGCAACAATAAAAGCAAATATTAATGAAATATTCTGATTAGACTTGGGCAAAATTATGTAAATAATGATATACTAAATTTATATATATTATTTGATTATAATATACATAGTCTTATATATGTTTATATGAGTTAAACATCTAAAACCAAATAATTTTATAATTGAATGAGAAACTCTAATGAAGGGAGAAGATAATTATGGAGTGTGAGTTTTTAGGTTTGTCTTCATTTGAAATTAATCTCATATTAAAAGAGTGAGAGAGAGAGAGAGAGAGAGAGAGAGAGAGAGAGAGTTGATGTAATTGAGCTGCACATAGGAAATGAAATTGCTTTGTTAACAAAAACATGAAATGCAATTCCTATTACAAGAGGGGATATTGTGATGCCTCAGGGAATCTTTACACCCCGTACAGAATCTAATGAGATGTGCACACAAACTACCTGCGGAGCGAGTAGCCTTGAATTGTGGAAGAGTCGGAGTTGGAGTTCTCGGTTGATTAGACTCCATTAGAGGCGGCAACAACAATGGAAATACAAAAGGAGCTGAGACTTGGCGGTTGAAGAGGGAGCAGAGGCAGGGAGAGTAGCGGGGGCTGCTCATAGATACGCTTAACTGTAAGCGCATTCATTGAACTGGGTAAACAGCAGCCAAAGGGTAGCTGCATATACCTACGAACAACAATTTGAATCGCAGACAAACAAAGTTCAAAGTGCAGTTGCCTGGGGGGGCTTAGCAGAGGCTGCACTTGTTTCCAGAGTGGGTTTAATGCACGATAACACGGAATGGAAATGGGAGTGGGAATGTGAGTGGAAATGGAAATGAAAATGGAATTACTTGAAATACACGACGTGATAAGCTGGGCAACTCGAGTGGCTAATGAAGCGTGTGGCTTTGTCGCAGTTGACAAGGGCCTTCAATTAGCCATCAGGGAATTCAGAAAGCCAACACAACACGCAACAACCGAAGATACATTGGCTTATAGAGTTTTTTCCTGATTTTTAATTAAATTGCAATCAGTAAAGACAGAAGCTGCGCCCGAACAACTTTCCAACTTGTATAAACTATGCAGACAGACAAACAGAACCAGGCGCCAGCTGTACTTAATCGAACTGATAAAGGGGCGTGGCAGGGCTAACCCAAGAGGACCGAAATCCAAAAAAAAAAAAACGTAAGCCAATGAACCCAAAGTTTCAGATTGATGGAAGAGAGAAATTCTTAAGAAATTCTTGAGAAGTTGCAGTCAACATTAACTAAAGCGAAATGTTCTCAGATGTCGGCTCTTAAAGGCGAGCATCATTTATTTAACGCAACGCAAGCAGCGACGTCATCTATCATATCGATAAGCGATGT